TCCCTCTATTATATCATCTCATATTCCTGCCAAATTCCTGGCCAACCACTGACTCCATGGGATTGTCTTTTCCAGAATGCTATGTAACTGGAATTGTACAATATATAATCTTTCCAGACTGGCTCCTTTCAGTTAGCATTATGTATTTGAGCTTCTTTCATGTCTTTTTTTGTGGTGCTAGGGATCAAACCCAAGATCCTGCACATCCTCCAAGACTTTTCATGGCTTGATAACTCATTTCTTTTTATTACTGAAAATATTTCCTCATCTGAAAGTACTGCAGTTTGATTGTCCGTTCACCTGAAGGACATATTGGTGGTTCCTAGTTTGGGGCAATTATGAGTGAAGTTGAAATAAACCTTTGTACTTATGTTTTTGTGTAGACATATTTTCTACTCGTTTGAGTAAATACATAGGAGCAGTTTTTGGATTATATGGTAAAATAATATTTAGCCCTGCAAGAAATTGCTAAACTGTCTTCCAAAGTGGCCATACCACTTTGCATTCTCACTAGCAATAAACAAGATTTTCTTTTCAAAAGCATTTGGTTGTGTTAGTGTTTTGTATTTGAAGCATTCTAATAGGCATGTAGTGGTATCTCCCTGTTGTTTAAATTTATAGTTCCCTAAGGACATATGATGTAGACTGCATTTTCATGTACTCATTTGCCATCTGTATATCCTCTTTGGCGAGGTGTCCAGATCTTTTGCTTGCTTTGGAATTACTATTACATTGTAATATATAATGAAATAATTATACAACTCAACATAATGCAGAATCAGTAGGAGCCCTGAGCTTGTTTTCTTGCAATTAGTTAGTTCCACCAGGGCTGATGGGAGACAATGACAATCGAAGTATGTCGCTTATGTCCAGTTTACTTTTTAATTTTGTTTTCGTTGTTGTCACTGTTAAAACCCTGTTTCCTGAAAACAGGATGTTGGAAATAGAAGCAAGGTTTTCAGTGCTCTTGTGGCAATTTCACAATATTCTGCCTTGACTTTAACCCAAAACACATGGATATTTGAAATTGTCTCAAAAATACTTTTTTTTTTTTTTTTTGGTACCGGGGATCGAACTTGGGTCCTTGTGCTTGTGCAGCAGGTAGCGAAACCACTGAATTAAATCCATGGCCCCTCAAAAATACTTTTAAGGGCACAATTATTTGTGATCATGCAGTTGATTTCTCTTCTACTACAAAGTCAGTTCACCTGGCTTGTTCACAAGTAGGCTACAAGTCCATTCTTTTTCAATTTGGGGGTCTTTTGGGTTGGGGAGTAATACTCAAACTTTTGAAAGCTGAGGTAGGTGAGCATGTACCAGTTAGGAGAAAGAAAGCCCTGGCTCAGTCTCTTTCAAAATTTCTACCACCATTTGAAACATGTCAAAAAAAATCCCAATGTTTACTCACTACCCCCATAATTCTAGTTTGGCTTTGAACAAAGCCACTTTACTGGTGACTTGAACATAGTTCCCGTTCTCCCCTGAAGTGACACATTGAGTTTGTTGAGCAGGTTGAATGTGTCACAAGAGTAAGCAAGATTTATGACCCATTCTGTGTCACTAAAATGTAATGCTGATGGTGACTGTTTTTCTAGAAGAAATTTCTGGAGTGGCTCTTGTAACTCAAAAGCTCTGACCAGTGATCTACCTTTAGAAAGCCATCTGTTGTTCTCTTGTGTATGAGAGAAGACATGTGTCCTCTGCATCCATCTCTTCCCGGAGCTGTGTAAACAGATATGGGTTAAGGACATGTACCTTAAGGTGGTTGATACTTTTAATCACATCCTGCAAAATGATGTTAAGTTCAGATGACATTTTTCGGCAATCAGCATTTCTCTACAGATGACAGTGTACATGGACTCACATTGAGAAGCAACCTCTGCAACCTGACTAGTGAAACCAGAAAGCCATTTACTCATGGCAACCATTCTGTCCATGTATATATCAACAAAAAATTACCAATTCAGTGTTCCTGATAGGTAATCAAAGTCTTGAATAGTTTTGCAGCTATAGTGTTGTTAACCAACATAAAAGTGCATATGACAAATTCTCATGTACATCTGAAAAATCTGTAACACAAAAACAGCATTGTTGCCTTCTTGTCAATTGGTAGACTCATCAACCTGGATTTTGTACCACAGTGACTCATTATTCCTCTCTAACAATGTGCTTCAGTATCCTCTGCTATTCATCAGTTTGTCTAGTTATGGTGCTAGGTGAAAGGAAAAGTTCATGACAGATGTCTGTAGCAGCAGGCAGAATCACCTCTTCAACAGTAGTAAAAAGCCTCTTAGCTTCAGCCGTGTGATTAGCCGCTAAGAATGATTCTCTCAGTACAGACACATTTGATAAAGCAGTGGCCTTCAATAATTGTTCTGTTCTTCATGTTCACATTTTTTTTCTTTTGAAAAATTCCAAAAACTTGATTTATTTTTGAGACAGGGTCTCGCTATGTAGTCCACGCTGGCCTTGCAGTCATTATGTAGCTCAGGCTGGCCTTGAACTCAAAGCAGTCCTCCTGCCACAGCCTCCCTGGGATTACAGGTGTGTTCCATCACACCCAGCCCAAAGGCTTTTCTTTTAATGCAAGGTGCTTGGTCTCCAGGTGGTAGAGCAGTTTTGAAGGTTTCATGGCTTCGTTGGATAGCTGGTCAACACATATACAAAGCAGGCTTGAAAAGTGTGAATCATTTGTTATAGTGAATCTATAATTTAAATAGGACTCTTGATGTTTTCTTTTAAGTGCAGTTTTCTTTTTGTTGGCAGTCTTAGAGTCTTCTGCTGTCTCATCATTGGGTCTTCCCCTCTTTTCAGAGAAGCTCTCCAGGGTTGTTTGGTTTTTGTGGGCTTTTTTGTTTGTACCGGGGATCGAACTCAGGACCTTGCTCTTGCAAGGCAGGCAGTGGAACCATTTAGCTAAACCCCTGGCCTGGTTGTTTGGTTTTTACTCATTTAGGCAAGAGTTAGCTTGTGGACACACCACAACTGGGAGTGGAACAAGTGCGCAGTACAGGAAAGAAGTGCAAAAGCAAGTGGTAAATAAAATAATGAGCAGGACACATGCTATCTAAATTAAGTGTTGCATTCTGACTTAAAGCCTGCCACAAGATGCAGCTGTACAATTGAAGTACATCAACTCACTTTCCACTAAATGCCTGCCAGCAGATGGCAATTTAATTGTTGCTTGCCACTCACTGATAGGGCTCTGATAAAAGTCTGCAAGCAACAGACTTAGTATGGTCTTTGTAGTCAAACCCTTCTGATAATATTAATCTGTATTTATAGCCATTCCCAGCACTAGCATCATCACCCCAGCTCCACCTCAGATCATGAGGCATGAAATTCTGATAAGGAGCGAACAACCTAGAGCCCTCGAATGTGCAGTTCACAGTAAGGTTTGAACTCCTATGTGAATCTAATATCACTGCTGATGTGACAGGAGATGGAGCTCAGGCCTCAGTGCAAGTGATGGGGAGCAGCTGTAAAGGCTGAGGATCACTCATTGCTCACCTCCTGCTGTGTGGCCTGGTTCCTAACAGACTGTAGGCTGGTTCACCTAGGACCTGGTAATCCCTGCAATAAAAACAACTACTTTCATCATAGCCATATAGTTGAATCTTACAGATATAATGTTGGAAGAAACCAAACACAAAAACTACAAGCTCTATGATTCTGTTTTATGAAGTTTAAGAACAGATAAAGCTGACTGTAGTCATACAAGATGAAATGTTGGTTACTACTGTGCAAGGGTTGGGAGCAGTTGGAGGTGAAAGGGACAGAAAGGAACAGCTAAGATTCTAGGAATGTTTTGTATCCTGATTTGGTGCCAGTTACTAGGGTGCACACATAATGTGTGTGCTTACTGAGCTGTACACTTAATATTAGTGCATTCTCCTTTGTATATTACCCATCAATAAAATTATACAAATAAAATGTTATGTCAGAGGAAAAAACAAAAGGCACAAAGAAAAAAAAGACTCAAAGACTGATTATGAACATGTTGATTTATCTGTACCCATATCATTCATTCATATATATATGTATATATTCATTTTGTTTTGTCTTGCTTTTTTGGTACTGGGGATTGAATTCAGGTCCTTGTGCTTTTGAGGCAGGCGGCAGAACCACTGAACTAAATCCCCAGCCCTATATTCATTATTGTAAATATATTTAGGACAACATATCAACTCTTTTTTTAAATTTATTTTTTTGGTACCGGGGATCAAACTTGGGACCTTGCGCTTGTGTGGCGGTCGCTGAAACCACTGAGCTAAATCCCTGGCCCAAAGCTTTTTTTTTTTTGGTACCGGAGATTGAACTCGGCTCCTTGGGCTTGCGAGGTAGGCAGCAGAACCACTGAGCTAAATTCCCGGCCCTATATTTATTATTATAAATATATTTAGGACAACATATCAACTCTTGTAAGCCCCTTAGAGAAACCTTTTACTACCTGTGTCTTAGTTACTTTCCTAGTTGGGGGGACAAAATACTTGACACCCACAACATAAGGAAGGATTTATTTTGGCTCACATTTCAGTCTGTAGTCAGCTGGCTCCAAGGCAGGATGGCATGGCAGAGGAGAGCTACAAGGGGGAAAGAAAACAGAGCAAGAAGGGAGGAGTAGGGGAGGGAGATAAACCCAGACCAAACCCCCAGTGACCCTCCTCTTCCTACCAGACCCCACTTCCTAACACCCTCTCAGCTGTAATCCAATCACTTTCCAAAATCCCTGCTATGAGCACATGAGTATTTGAGGGGGCATCTAGACATAAACCATAACAACCTATTTGGTTTATTATTTCTGAAGGGCACTGAGTAGTGCCCTAACTGCCTGAAGATGTAATGAGCCTTCTAAATAGCTAATTTATTATTAAAGTATTTTTTATCCTGAAGAAAATGTGGCTAATATGGGAATCCAAAATTCAATGCATGTTTAAGGAAGTTTTTCCCTAATCCCACACTCACCTGCCTTTCATGTTTAATATGGTAATTTCTTATAGGGACATTTATCTTCTGTTCTTCAAAAAGAAGAAAAAGTCTCACCAATTTTTGGTAAAGAGGAGACAATAGAAGTGCCTATTATTAGTGCTTCGACTCAAATAATGCTCAAAGGACTTTTTATGGTGCTTGAGTATCTTTTTAGACAAAATAGCAGGTAAGTGAAGATATCTGTAATTTTTCTCTTAAAAATATTATCCTATTTGGATGCTAACATGTGTTAAATAAATACTGATTTTAGGTGAGTGGGAGTATTATAGATATTATGATGTATTTGCTTTTACTTATTGGGAGACTCAGATCAATTGCAGTTAGTCTTTTTTATAATGATAATATTGAAATGAGTAAATACATTTAATTAATTCATCATTAAATTTATGGTCTTTCAGTACTAAATTTAAACAATATTATATTATAATTAATATTATAATATTAATAAGTATAACATGGATGTATATTTACCAGTGTCAGAAAGTCTCTTTGGTATATTGTATAAAGCCACTACCTCTTGTCAAGTTATGGTACTACCTACTTCCAGGAATTTTAAAATGTTTTCTTCATTGTGGCAAATTATACATAAAATTTGCCATCTTAACCATTTTTAAGTATATACAGTAGTTCAACCCATGAGGTACATTGGCAGTGTACAATCATCAGCATTATCCATGTCCAGAAATTTTTTATCTTTCTAAACAGGAATTCTATACCCGCTCTTCCTCTACATTCCCTTCCTGCAGTTGCTACTAACCTTTACTTTAATTTTACAAATTTTTGCTTTCCAGGTATCTTATATAAGAGCAGTCTTATGATATTTGTCCTTTTGTATCTGGAACATTTCACTTCATTTAACATATTTTCAGAGTTCAGCCATCTAATAGCATGTATCAGGATTTCATTTCTTTTTATGACTGAACAATATTGCATTGTATGTGTATGCATCATCTTGTTATTCTGTTTGCTTATTGTGAGTAATATTATAGTAAATATTGGTGCACAAATATTTGAATCCTCCCTCAGTTCTTGCTTTACATATCCAAGAACTGGCAGCAGAATTTACAAGATCATAGGGTAATCTTACATTCAGCTTTTTAAGATAATTGCCCTAGTGTTTTCTACAGCAGCTCACCATTTTACATTCCCATTAGCATTGCATAAGGGGCTGGTTTCTCCATATCCTTGCTGAGGCTTACTATTTTGTGATTTTTATGCAGTCACTCCTAATGTATATGAAGTGATATATGGCTGTCATGTATTTTTTTTTTTTGGTACCGGGGATCGAACTCGGGACCTTGCACTTGCAAGGCAGGCGGTGGAACCACTGAGCTAAATCCCCAGCCCTGGCTGTCAAGTATTTTTAATTTTTATCTTCCTGATGACTACAGATATCAAGAATCTTTTCATCTGGCTATTGACCAATTGTATATTGTTTTTGGAGAAATATCTTTCAATATTTCACTCATTTTTGTTTTTTATTGTTGAGGAGTAGTAGCTTTTCATATTATCTGATTACCAATCCTGTATAAGATAAATACTTTACGGATATTTGCTTCTATTCTATGGGTTGTTTTTTCACTTCTTGATAATATCCTTTAATGCAGGAAAACTTTTCTTGAAATCTAATTTATATTTTCTTATGTTGCCTGTACTCTTTAGTTCATATATGCAAGAAGTCATATCCAAATCTGATGCCATGAAGATTTTTTTCTTCTAGAATTTTGTAGTTTTTTGCTGCTAGCATTTTTTTGGTACCAGGGGTTGAACTTGGGACCTTGAGCTTGCGAGGCAGGTGCCAGAACCACTGAGCTAAATCCCCGGCCTGCTGCTAGCATTTTTTATAAAATTCTCTTTACAGTTTTTGAGGATCTGACTTAACTTTGAGATCTGATTTCTTTAGGTGTGGAATTGACAGTAAAATATTATAATGAGGACATAGTTGAAAATACCACATTTTGTTTTGTTTAAGCCTATACATTTTATATTCTTTTATCGAAAAGTTATAAACTGGATGGATTATATATCTTCTGATTCAATACTTCTCATAAAAAGATGATGACTGAAACCCAAATTTTAAAGGGATTTCAAAAAAAATCATAATTAGTTGCTAACACCTTTTAAACTTTCAGCAAAAATTATCTATTTTCTTATATGATTAAAAGTATAACTTACCTTTTAGCTTCTTTTACTATAATACTGTTTCCTAGTTTGTAATTATGTAGTATGGGGTAAATAGCTGTGACCTGGGAGTTGGCTGACCTGAGTTTTAATTCTGGTTCTACCATAATTTATGTAATATTTGAGAATGGAATTGGGAAGTGGCTGATGAAGGTTAGATGTCTTGACGATTTGTAATATTTCCTGTAGGAACTGGTTTATTCTGTGATTTAATGGCTTAATTTATATCAGAATTACTGAATTTAATTAGTAATGGGAAGAATGTTATCTTTCAGTGGTAAGGTGCCAGCATTCTTTGAATTTTATATATAATTAGTTTTTATATTGTATGTAGCTGGGTCATTATATGTTTTATAATGTTTTGTCATTTAATTAGCATTTTCTTTGCATTTAGATTTGCAGATGATTATAAAGTTGCTATTCAACAGACTTACTCCTGGACACATCACACTGATATTTCAGATAAAAATGGGTTCTTTGCTGTACCAAAAAATAAGAAAAGTTCACGACAGAAAAATGCAGTTCATGTGCTAAACTTTTGGTGCTTAAATCCAGCTGTGGTAAGCTTATCACATTGTAAATGAAAGTTTTGTCTTCTTGGTCAATACCAACAGTTCAATGAATGTGACTCTTATAAGATTTTATGCATCTAATTTTTTCTTTTAGGCATTTTCAGATATTAATGGCAAAGTTCGGACGATTGTTTTGACATCTGGCACATTATCACCAATGAAATCCTTTTCTTCAGAGCTTGGTGTTACATTTACTATCCAACTAGAGGCCAATCATGTCATTAATAATTCACAGGTTAGTTTTTATTTTTATAAGGCTCCCAGGCTTTTTAACCTTAATATATTAATTCCACATAAACAAATCAGAAGATACCTGAAATGCCGGTAAACCAATCCTCATGTGAAATTCACAGTTTACTTTTAGAATAAAAGAAAATCCATCAATGGTTTAATAGTGTCAAAAAAGGAAATATTAATAGTATTCCTTCAGCCCAGTCGCTTTGGATCCCAGTCAGTTTGGATGCAAAGACTTTACTACAGATTCTTCATTTAATAAGTTTTAGTTTTTCTATGCAATTGAAAAACAAGAAAAATTTGACTTTATTGTAGTTCTTATTGTATATTTGTGTTCCTTTTTTCTATTAGACTATGATGTATCTTATTTTTCTTTTATATCTCCATTTTTCCTTGGTACTTAGATTAATACCAAGCTTTTAGTAAGTGTTCAGGACATATTTGAATGTCTAAAATAAAGTAGTACTTTTATGACTCCTATGATTTTAGTTTTAAAATTTTTATAATATCTATAAATGTTATTTTAACTTTCCTAGAAATGTTTGAATTGCCATTTTTGATTATGCCTTCTGTTTCTTTTTATGAAATAATTTAAAGTAGTTAGCTATATACTTAATATCACCTGTGTGTCTAACACAATTCTAGTCTCTGCAAGGCTGTATATGCAGGTTTCTGTGTGGGGACCCTTTTGCTTCTCACAGTTACTTCAGAGCAACTACTGACATTTAGTAGTTGGAAGCCCAGAATGCTTCACTCCTATGTAATTAAGAATTTGCTTTCCAAAATGCCAGAGGGCTTCTGTTCAGAAACATTGCCAAAAACAATAGTGAAGTAAAAATACAAGTTTCACATTTTCAAGTTGCCTTCTGTGGAGTCACACAGAAGTTATTAAATTCAACATATTTTCTCATAGGAATGTTATTGTAGGCTTTAATTAATTATAATTTCAGCCTAGGGCAGAAAAGTTCAATTAACCTGCAGTATTACTGAATTATTTATACTAATGGTAGTTGTGCAGCTCTATTGTTATATTGTCCTCCAATTTTAAAAAGTTTTATTTTAATTGTAATAAAATACGCATAACAAAATTTACCATCTTAATCATTTTTAAGTCTACAGCTCAGTCTTGTTAAGTGGATCCACACTGTTGCACAACCAATCTCCAGAACTTTCTCTTTTTTTTTTTTCAGTACCGGGGATTGAACTCGGGTCCTTGCGCTTGCGCAGCAGGCGGCGAAACCACTGAGCTAAATCCCCGGCCCAAGAACTTTCTCATTTTGCAAAACTGAAACCCTATTCCTATTCAAATACTTTATAGTCACCCTCCCCAATGAATCCCTGGTAACCACCATTGTATTTTCTGTTTCTGTGAATACTAGATACTTCATGTAAGTGTAATCATATGATACTTGTCTTTTTGATGACTTGCTTATTTTACTTAGCATAATGTCCTCAAGATTTGTCCAGCCTGAACTAAAAAGTGAGACCTTGTCTCAAAAACAAAAGTCACATTTGGGCTGGGGATTTAGCTTATTGGCTCTGGCGCCTGCCTCACAAGTGCAGGGTCCCGAGTTCAATCCCTGGTACCAAAAAAAAAAAAACCACAAAAGCCACAAACAGACAACAACAAAGCAAGAATCTTTGAACATGACTGAATTTATGGGAGAGCAGTTCCTGTTGTTGAGAGTTACCTATGGCAAATCAAACCAAGTCTTCACCCCCAGTAATTTAGGATTATCTTTTGGTATATAGACCTAATATATTTATTTTATGTGTTTACTTATTCATCCTGAAAATAATTGTGATATGCTTAATTTTGACCCTTTTTGCTTTGAAAGAACTTTCATTCTAAGAGAAGTCAGTGATCTACCTAAAGCAAACTCCAGTAAATTCTCTCCATAATTACAATGTTTTTTTCACCATTTCCTTCATCATTGAATTACTTATACTGATACATTCCTTCTTTTTTTATTTTGTGCATATTCTATAGATATTTCTTTGTGGCTACCATGGAGATTACAGATATCCTAAAATTATGTTAGTACTGTTTGAATTGATACCAACCTAACTGTATAAATTAAAAGTAACAGAGAACTCTCCAACAATTAAAAAAGAAATTTCTGTGAAATTTGTCGCTGGACTTAACTTTTGTATAAATATAAATAAATTGTTATTATCCTAAGTGTTAATTGTCTGTGCTGTTGAGGCATAACTCTTAATACTAACATTTGTATTGTAGGTTTGGGTTGGTACCATTGGTTCGGGCCCTAAGGGTCGGAATCTGTGTGCTACCTTCCAGCATACTGAAACATTTGAGTTCCAGGATGAAGTGGGAGCACTTCTGTTATCTGTGTGCCAGACTGTGAGCCAAGGAATTTTATGTTTTTTGCCGTCTTACAAGGTAAAGGAATATCGATTGTTTCTTTTGCCTTTAAATTATCACATAAGATTGCCTGATAAACTTTCTAGAGGGAGAAGCAACAAGGTAATAACAAACAGATTATTTTACTTATTTATTCAATAAGGTACTGCCTGCTTGTTCGATCGCTATTTTATTTAAAAGTCCAAAAGAATAAAAGTCTTCAAGCAATGTTATGTAACAGGGCTGCTCATGTTTGCATGATTTTTATTCTTGGAGGCAACTTGGTGTTTTCATAGTTGAAAGCAGGAGAAATTGTCCTTTTCATTCTCATAAATTATACTTCTGAATGTTTTCAGTAAAGCAAATCTAAGCCCAAGGTTCTGTGTTGACCATTATTTTATTCTTGCATCTGGCCAGAAGAGAGAGATTTTTCCCTTATTTTTGGAGTCATTCAGATTTTTAACAATTTTTTTAGTTAAATTAAAATTATATAGTATATTTTGATCATAATAGCCAAGACATCAAAACCACATACAATTCCTGAGAATAATAGTGTATTTTATAAAAATCTAAGTTAAATTTCAATGTAAAGAAGTGCCGGTTTTCTTTCTCAAGGCTGTTTTGACTATGTTGAATTCCTTGAGATTTCCTGTGCATTTTAGGATGCATTGCTTTGGGCAGTATTGCCATACTAACAATATTGAGTCTTCTAATCCATGAGCATAGAATGTCTTTTTTTATATATATGTCTTAATTTCTTTTCTAGTGTTCAGTAGTTTTCAGTGTACAAATATTTTGCCTCCTTTGTTAAATTTACTCCTAAATCATTTTTTTATTTTTGGTGGCATTGTAAATAGAATTATTGTCTTAATTTCCTTTTAAGGTTGTGCACTACTAGTATATAAAAGTGTGATTGATTTACTGGTATATAAAAGTGTGGTGACTTTGTGTTGTGCAACTTTGCTGAATTTATTTATTTGGGTGTGAGATCTTTAGGGTTTTCTTTTTTTTTTTTTGTATCGGAGATCGAACTCAGGACCTAGTGTTCGCAAGGCAAGCAGTGGTACCACTGAGCTAAATCCCCAGCCCGGGTTTTCTTACATATAAGATCATGTTATCTGTATGGAGGGATGATTTTACTTCCTCTTATCTAATTTATATTCTTTTTCTTGCCTGACTACCTGGCTAGAACTTTTAGTATTCTGTTGAATAGAAGTGGCAAAAACTGGTATTGACATCTTGTTCCTGATAAAGGTTTCTGTGTTTCACAGTTAAGTATAATGATGTCTTTTCCTCTTTCTCTTTGTCTTATTCTCACTCTTGCTCTCCCCCCACCCCTCCACACTTAATACTGTCCTGGGGATTGAATCCAGGTTCTCCTGTACTAGTTAAGCACTCTATCACTGAACTGTATCCCCAACCTCCATTCATTTCCTTTCAACCTTAAGTCTTTAGATCTACTAGGATTTTTTTTTTTAATTGAACCTGGGACCTTCACACTGAGCTACATCTCTGATCCTTTTTAAAATTTTAAGATCAGGTCTTGCTAAGTTGCCCAGGCTGGGCTCAAAATTGTGATCTTCCTGACTCAGCCTCCCAAGTACTTGTATTATAGGTATGTGCTACCAAATCTGGCTAATATGAATGTCTTGTAGTCAGCATATAATTGGTCTATGGTTTGTTCCTTAAATTAATTCTGTGTCTACATTTTCATTGGAGAGTTTAGTTTATATATAAAGCAGTTATTACGTAAGTAAAGCAATTGTTGATAGGAAAGGACTTCTGCTGTTTTTCTGTTTATGTGTTTTTTTCATGCTTTTACCCGCCCCCCCTTCCTCCACTGTTGCTTCTTTTTTAATTTTTTCGTAGTGATGGATTTTGATTTCCTTCTCATTTGATTTTTTTTTTTTTTTTTTGGTACTGGGGATCGAACTCGGGTCCTTGCGCTTGCAAGGCAGGCGGCGGAACCACTGAGCTAAATCCCCGGCCCTTAATATATATCCTGTAGATATTTCTTTGTATTTACCATGAAGATTATAGATATTATATTATCCTAAAGTTATAATAATCTGATTTGAATTGATACTAACCTAACTTCAGTTATATATAAAACTACTTCTAAATAGCTCCCCTCACCTTTATGTTATTGATATTACAAATTTGCTCTATGTATATTATGTGCCCAATAACATGAATTTTTTTTGGTTTTTAGACAGGGTCTTGCTTTGTAGGGCAGGCTGACCTTGAACTCACTATGTAGCCCAGGCTGGCCTTAACACTTGGTGATCTTCCTACTTCAGCTTCCTGATGAGTGCCAGGATTACAGGCATGGATGACCTTTCCTGGCTCAGATTTACAGTTTTCACATATATTTTTAATCCTATCATAGAAAACAAAAAGTGGAGTTACAAACCAAAATTACAATACTGAATTTATATTTGTCTGTGTAATTACCTCTGTTGGAGATTTTTGTGTATTCCAAGTGCTTCAAGCTACTGTCTTGTGTCCTTTGATTCCAAAGTGAAAGATTCCTTTTAGAATTTCTTATAGAGCAAGACTAATATAAACTGAAAGTGTAAATAAGGATCAAAATGTATAATAGATAATGTGAAATAGGAAGAAAAGGTGCAAAGGGAAGGGGAAATGAGAGAGGTAGGGGAAAGGAAAGAGAGGAATGGAATTAATAAGAGAAAAGGAAAAAATAGAAACAGGCTTTGGAAATAGGGAGGGGTGGAGGGATTAAAGGGAGGGCAGGGGAAGGGGAAAAAATAAGATATGTTATGTAAAGGTGCAAATCCCCAATGATGAATGTCATTATATTGAATACCTAAAATGTACCAATAAAATTGATTTTAAAAAGCCAAAAAAAAAAGACTAATATAATAAACTTCCTCAGTTTTTATTTATCTGGCTATGTCATAATCTTTTCATCATTTTCAAAGGACAGTTTGGCGATAACAGAATTTTCGGTAGTTCTGGCAGATGTAGAATTCTTGGTTCAGTTTTTTTTCTTAGTACTTTAAAAATATCATCATTGCCTCTGACATTTAGGGTTGCTGATGACTGTACTGAGGATCCTTTGTGCTACGTTTCCTTTCTCTTGCTACTTTCAAAAGTCTCTGACTTTGTCTTGTGTCAATTATATGTCAGTTTGGTTTGCTTTGGGTTTATCTTCCTTTGAGTTTACTGAGCTTCTGTATTTGTAGACTAATGGCTTACATCAGATTTGTAAAGATTTCAGCCATTTTTTCTTGAAATATTTTAAAAATGAGTAAAAACAAATGCAAAATAGCATAATTTATGCAGTACAGTTGAAGTTATGCTTAGAAATTAATTGTTTTTCTTTTTTAAAAAGATGGTCTTGGGATTAAACTCAGGGCCTTCTACTGAACTACATCTCCAGCCTTTTAAGAATAGTGAATGACTGATTGAGTTAGGGTCGTGCTGAGTTGCTCAGGCTGGGCCCAGACTTGTGATCCTCTTGCCTCTGCCTCCTGGAATGCTGGAATTACAGATGTGTCCCACCTGTGCCTGACTGGAAATGTATAGTTTTTAATGTTTATGAGAAAAAAATCTTAAATCATAACCTATACTTCCACCTTAGGAATCTAGAAAAAGAAATGGAAAATAAACACAAAGTAAGCAGAGAGAAGGAAATAATGAAGATAAAAAGAGGAAAAAGGTGGAAAACTGTCAAATCATAGAAAAAATCAGTGAAACTAAGAACAGTCTTCACTATGAAAATGTATTTAGTAAAATTAATATAATCTAGCAAGACAAGTCAAGATAAAAAGAGAAGATAAATTACTAGCGTCAGAAATTACAGGGAACATCATTATAAATTCTGTTGCCGTTGGACAGATAATTAAGAATACTTGAAACAACCTTATGCCCAGCATTTAAGCAACTTATATAAAAGATAAATTCTCTACAAGACCCAGATCATCAGAATTGTTAAAAAGAATTAGTGAATTTAAATAACATGTCTATTGGACAAGTTGGGCAAGTAATTAAAATCTTTCAGTGAAAAGAAGTGTAGGGCTGAGTGTGTAGCTCAGTTGTAGAGTACAACACATGCAAGGTCCTGGGTGGGATCCTCAGCACCACAGGGCAAAAAATGTAGGCTTGGGCCAGGGATTTAGCTCAGTGGCACAGGCCTGCCCTGCAAGCTCAAGGTCCTGAGTTCGAGCCCTGGTACCAAAAAAAAAAAATGTAGGCTCAGTTGACCTTTTTGGTAAATTCTACCATGAAAATATACCAGTTTTATGCAAACTCACAAAACAGGGAGTGGAAAGATTTACCACAATATCAGGCACACTTAACTCTGATACCAAAGCCAAATAACAATATTATAAGAAAATAAAATTATAGACCAATGCAAGGCCAAAAATTACCAAAAATTAGTAAATATATAATAAAAAGAATTATATATCCCTACCCAGAGGTTCCAGGAAGTCAATATTAGTTTATTTTCAAAAGCCAAGTTGTGTAATATAGCAAATCAATAGGTTATAAAGGAGAATAAAAACATTTATCTAAAAAAATGTAGATGAAACATTTATGAAATTTAATACCCAGTTATGATATAAACTTAGGAAACAAAGAGCAACCTGATTAAGGACATCTATGAAAAACACAGTTAATACCCTACTTCATATAAGACTGAATGCTCTTTTGCCTACTTTTACAACTGTGATGAGGCTATCCATTCTCACTATTTCTGTTCAGCATTGTATTTTATCCAATTTAGTAAGGAAGAAAAAGAATTAAACAGATTTGAAAAGAAATATAGTTTCTTTGCTCAGACATCATGATTGGACAGTTTGAAAATCCTAAGAAATCTACAAAAGATATTAGAATTAATAGTTGAATATAGCAAATTTATAAGGAGCTCATTATACACACATTGTATACAAGTTGTATACATTGTATACAATTGTTACATTGTATACAGTGTAACAAAACAGAGATGAGGTGTCTTTCTATAGTTGGCTTTATTAACATGAGGCCAAGGTAAACTTACGGAGAAGTGGGAGTCT